GACATTGTATTTTATGTTTTTTTTAATAAATAAAGTTGTATTCAAAAAATTATCTAGATAAACCAGTTATATTAAATGCTATAAAATAAGGTTATGATAGATTCATCCTGATGTTCGATTTGCTGTAGTATTAAAACCTCAAAGAGCAGAGAGTTATTAATATTGTTAGCATGCACACTTTATATTTATTCAAATACATTAAGGATGTTATTCAAATACATTAAGAATGTAAATCTGAATATGTAAGTAGCCATTTGTCCGGAAACATTGCAAAATATTAAAAATATGAAAATATAATATTCTTTTAATAAATCGAATATTCCAATATTCGATCTATTTAGGTGGGATCTAGATGTATTCGTTTTAATAACCTATTTGTGGCATACCTGCATATTTTCCTACCTCGATGGGATTATTTTTACTTTTTTCTGCCCGGCCTGCGTTTTTTTAAATGTTTATTTATTCTAAATAATTAGATTCGTATTTTGTAAAAGTTTCTAAAGACAAAAGAATCATTTAATTAATAAATCGTGTGATGTTGTAATTTTTAAACCTAGTTCTGCTTATTATTTTAGGCCAGGTCCAAATATTAAAATCATGTCATTAGGGCCTGTTGTACCTTTAAATTATTATTTTTGGGGTAAGATGTGATACGGCGTATTTTTGAAATATAAATCCTTAATTGGGATTCGATTGAAGGAAGCGAAATATTTTGCAATATTATTTATCTATTTAAATAAATCATCTCATATTTAAAATAAAGTAATAGTCCAATATATATCCCCAGAATTTGATTTAGAATTAAATTATAAATGAGGAATCAGAATTGCTTCATGTAGTTTATTAATATACCCAAATCTTGTATTATATTCAAAATTATTGTACTCAAGTTATTGTTAAATTTAATATTTTATTTTAACTTTGTAAATCTTTTCCACTAACTCTTTTATTTTAGTTTATGAATACTAATTTCTAATATAATTTATTTATCTAAGGAATAGCATATCCTTACGCTGACAAGTTGTCGTAGATTTTAGTTCTATATAACTATGGAAAAAAATAGAATTTTGAATAGTAAACAAGTTTAAAATATACTTATTAAAAACTTCGAAATCTTTTATCATTAAGCGTCAAACAAGATAGGGGAATTAAATTATTTATACCATGCAAATCATTATTCAATTACATACACTTGATTATCCTTTTTTTTAACGAATCAATAAATTTATAGATATCCATTCCCAGACATGACATCATTTAAGTCATAAAATATTGGATATTATTTTAAAAGCAGACGATTTAAATTAAACAATTAAACAATGATGTATTTAGTACGTCATAATTTCTTGCTCAAAGGGATAAACATCTTCATAATTTGTATTCCATTTATGAGGAAATGAATATGTTTTGAAATGTTCAAATTTATTTGATATATTTATATTAAATATCTGCAAATCCCGGCCTGGCCCGTATATTTTTAAAAATCCGGTTCGGGCTGGGTCGATCGAGCATATTATGTTTTCAAAAAATACGGGCCTGGCAATTAAAGCACTGCTCAATTGTAGTAACTTAACTTGGAGATATTAAGGGTTCCATTGACATTCAATTAAGTTATTAAAAACTACCGAGTAATATTTATATATAATTTAATATACATATAAAGGATATGCATTCTATTTTTTCTTCAAATGTTTTTTAATGTGGTATTCATAAAAACACTAAAAAACAAAAATAATTTTTTTATTTAATAAATCGCATATATAATTAACTGTTCTAATATTAATTAAAATATATTTTATATTTTAATAAAGTATCAACAACATATAAAAAATCTGAGATCGGGCGTTTTAAAAAATATTTATGGGTAATATGGTATGATACATGTATTTTACTGTTTTTCAATATTCTTATCAATAAAAAATAAAGTATTGCATAAATATGGGTAGTAGAATCTTTACTTTAAATAAGAATATATAATATTAAAACAATTACATTTTGCTAATAAATACTCATTATTTTTTAGTATTTATATCGATTTTCTATTGAAAGCCAAATAATGGCATTATAATTTTTTTTCTACAGATTCATATTGAAATTGCCATAGCATTAGTATTAGCTTATACTGTCCATTTATTTATTAAAAAATTAAAAAGTTTATCTACATTGAGATCCTCTATTGAAAAGTATTTAGATAAAATGTGAAAGGCATTTTGACGAAATGTGAGGCCTATTTGCCCTGCATTCACAGATAGTGCAAATTAGCAGCTAAAAGCTTTAGATGACAAGTGAAAAGTATTTAGATAAAATTCCTTTCTATGAGGTCTACAACAGCCAATGATATTGACTACAGCTGGCTTCAATTATTGCACACTTTAAATATATGAATCGCCAGTTTAGGGGGGCCAATATTAAAAATAGATAATAAGCAACTTTTCTATCTAAAAGAATAAATTTTAAATAATTTATATCTCTATCTAATTAATATATGCTTTATGTGCTTGCTCAAAATATAGAAATTATCCAGACAATATTTTTAAAAATCTTCTACATCGGCATCATTTAATTTAAATTATATTATAAAACAATAATTATCTCAGCAATCTAAAAATCTTACCATTTGTTCCCAAACATGGTAAAAAATAGTCACAAGGAATAAAACAAAAAAAATGGTTATTTATATAACTAATATAAAAAATTTATTCTAAAGTAAATTTCCACAATTTTTATGATAAAATAAACAAAAAATATAAATGGGCTAAATTTAAAAATTAAACTTTACTTTCTAAATCAAAATTGGGTACTAAAAAAAATATGACAATCAAATTACTGTTAAAATTTTAATGACATAAAATTATTCCGTCAATATCTGGAAAATTTAAATCTTTTTAAAAGATAAAATTGTATAAGGGGTTTTTTTTTTCATTTGTGTTGCTTATAAATATTATAAAATATTGTTTCTTTTCTTATATAATGTATGTTTTTATATTTTATTATAATATAATATTGCTTGAAGGCAAATTTTAATAAAGGCACATAAAAATAAATCACCTTTCCTATGTAAAAATATTATTATGTAATTATGATTACATTGGATAGATTGAAAACATTAATAAAATAATTGTCTTTGTATTTTAAATTTAACTGCTTTTAACAGTAATCTTAGTTGGGTCATGGAGAAATCGGTTAATTCAACTCAATCTACAGGTGGGTGCTGAGAAAATTCGATTTGCATTGGTGAGTTATTTAAGCTCTTCTGAAAGCTGATCTATATTTTTTTAAACCAAGATTAAGAGTATATTTTTTAGCTAAAGATTAGGTTTTGCTGTTTTAGCTGGCTAAAAATTAAATAACTAAAATATAAAAAAGGAACCAAACGTTTTTATATAAAATAATTTTTTTACATTTGATAAATGGTAAAATTCCATTAAATAAAACATTCAATAAATAATTTAGATTGTTGTATGATTGCAAAAAAAGGGTCATTTTTACAGATATCAATAAATAGCTTAAACATGTCAATTAATTATTAAGTATTTTTCAATAATTTGAGTAAATTATCTAATTTTAGCTAAATAAAATAGTGTGCAGATAATCATAGTGTGTGATAATAACACTTTAACATTCAATATCATAAAATCTAGGTATCAAATAGTTTGTTATGAAATTATGACCTATTATCATATTATATTTTTTTTAAATTCAACAAAAGATAAAAACTTTTTTATGTCAAGTAAAAATCAATTTTTAGATTGGGCCAGATGGGTGAGTCCAAAATTAATTTAACCTTGTCTGGTTAGATGAACACTTCATAATTTAAGCAATATCTACAAATGGTCTTTGAATTAGGCAGTTAATTATTTTTTGTCAATATATTATCCATAAACTAAAAAATTGTCTTAATTAAGACCATAGACTGAACTCAAACCTCCAAACTCTTTTCCAATTCCATACCAGCCCTAGACATAAAAATATTTAAGTGCATGAACCTTAACTTAATATTTTTCCTTTAGGAGTTAATGAATTTTAGTCATTCGATTTCTTCAACACTTAAGTAAAAAATTATAGGTTAAATCTAAATTTGATTTATTTTTACTAACTCTTAATAACCACTATATATTTAGATGATATTGAAAGCTTTTTTACTCTTATTTCTACAAAATAAACTTATCATTTTATTTAATTGTTTTGGTAACTTTATATGTAAAAAATACATCAAATTTGGACTTTTGGTAAAAATCTCTAAAACCTGGACCTGTACCAAATCCTGCAAAATTTTTGTCTGGTCCCAAACCCTAATTCTGACAAAGGTCAGACAAACCCTAATTCTGACAAAGGTCTAACTCAAACTAAATAAAATTAACCTGATTTTGCCTGTTAACACAAATATATATTATGCTCATTAAATTTATATCTATAACAAAATTTTATTTCCCAAAATTGTAGTAACTGTTTGAGCTAGGCCTTATCAATTAAATGCCGCATAAAATATTTAAATTTCTTTTAATGCTAGATATGTAATAGAAACCCCACAACCCCAATGATACAAGAAGGCTCAAGCCAAATCTTTATGGATAGGGAAAAAATGAGTGGAGAATGCTACAATAAGAATCCTATATTTATTTCATGGACATCTTTATAAAGCAAATAATTTAAAAATGCTTTATAATTTTAAAACTCTTTTTATGTGAACTAAAACCCCATAAATCTTTAATTTAAAAATTACAGATGTTTCAAAATATTTGTTTTATTTGCATAGTAAAATTAAAAAGCTGTAAAATTATTGTCAATCCATGTCAATTTGTAAAATTTATGTAATCAAAAATAGAACCTAAAAAATTATTCAGGAACTGTTTAATCAAATATTCAAAATTTCTGTTAATATAATAATCATTAATTTAGGTGTAAAACATGGGAATATAAAAATATCGATTATAGTTAGATTATAAATCAAATTTATATGTAATATATCTCTAGTAAGTATATATATTTATATATTATACCATCTGCATCTACTTCATTTATCATGTCTTGTAACTCTGCTTCAGTTGGATTTTGTCCTAATGACCTCATAACAGTTCCTAATTCTTTAGTGGTTATAGTTCCATCCCCATCTTTGTCAAACAATGAAAAGGCCTCTTTAAATTCTAAATATTTTTATAAATATACAGGGTAAACATATTATGAGTTTTACCTGCTATTTGTTCTTCTGTTAATTGATCCGCCTATTAACATAATAAATTAAAATAATATAAACTCTTTACTCTTACCATTTGTATATTATTTTTAGTATTGCTTATTATTGTATTAAAGATAGGTCAATGATGAAGAAATAATGTAATCGAACACTTTTAGAAGAGGCTAAGTGGAAAACAAAACCGATATAAAATCAATTTATTTGTGAATTATGTTTTAATCATAAATATTTATAGTTAATATATGATGGAATATGTGATACAGTTTATTTTTTTTATGTTTTTAGTCTATTAAAGGTAAAAGTTTGTGTAATTGGTAAATTATAAATAACAAAATAATAATAATGTTTACGCGCAGTAATATAATTTTTAATAAAAATTTATGCTTAGAAACATCCACATTGTTATTATAATTTATATAATTCTAAAATCGATATTTTTTAATAATTGATTATTGATATTAGATAGTAAAAGACATATAAAATCAATAAATGGAATCAATTTTATGTTATTTACTCATCTGTATAGAATTATTAAAGCAATAGTTATTTAGCCTATACAATTTAAATTAATATTCATCTGTTGTATTATATAGCATGGTTAAAAATCATATTATAATTAAATTTAGTATATTATTAAATTTAAAATATTTCATTTATTATAAGAAGTATTTCGCTATATATTAAATATATACTAAGTATCAACAAAATCAATATGTAACTCGTAAAAAGGATATCTTCCATTATTGTTATGTGATTTACTAATTTTTCAATTACCCTCTATTTTTATGTGGTCATTAAATTATTGACTCGGTAAAAACCGCAACTTTGTGCATATTTCGTATATTGCTTCTATGTTGTTTCAGATGATTAAAATTGTATCATCTCCTTCACTTCAAAAGACTATTATTTCAGTAGCAAACTATATAAAATCTTGATCTATCAAAATAATATACATATATGTATATAATACTAACCAAGTTGACAAATTAGTATTTAAATGTATAATATATTAGTCCGCCGTATACGTCATTTTATGGTCTGGACTTAGACTAAATTACGTTTATAGTTTAATCACTGAATGTAATTGTGTTCAACACATTTTTTAAGATAAATTATATTTGAGTCTACGTTCTAGTAAAATAAAATTACCGGGAGATTAAGTCTTGAGGAAATTCATGGGAAAATAAGAAGTTAAAGCTAAACATTCAAAATATTTTATATATAATATAATTAATATAAACATATTAGTCTAAATAGAAATGAATTTATGTTATTAAGAGTATAAGGTAAAATGATTTAAACATCATAATCAGAAAAATAGTAAAATATATGTGTCTCTTTATTTATTGTTCCCATTTTATTGAAATTTTTGAGAATTCTATCTGGTATATATATTGAAGTTTATTATAAGGATTGAAACCAATTTTCTAGCTCGTTCATGATGTAGTGTTAATATATTCGGACTGATTTTTATTATTTCTTTTTCACTGTCTATTAACTCAATATTTACCTTATGGAATGATTTTATTATTTTATTTATTTCACATTTAATATTTACCTTACTTACTGTTAAATAATAGGAATTAATAAAATTAAAATATTATATACTTGGTTATTAAATAGTAATATGTTTAAATTTTATATAACACGCATTCATTAAATTATCTTTATATTTGCGCCCGAGTGGTTTGAAAGGAAATTTTATCATGTCCTCGCTTAATATAAATGGTTTAATGAATAAATTAACCATTTTTCTAAGGCTCATGGTCGACGAAAAAATGGATGTGATCGCGTTACAGGAGACCCACTCAAAAGATAATAATATGGCTACCTTTAATAACTTTGAAATGTATAGTTCTGGCACCACTTCCAATAATTGGTCGGGGGTTGCTTTCTTTATCAGCAAAAGATTATGCAAATACGTGGATAAATTTGTGCCCATTTCGGAGAGATGCTGTTTACTATACCTGAATACCTGCTTCAGGCAATCAATCTTAGTTAATGTCTATGCCCCGCCTAGAAGAAACGAACGGCTCGCATTCCTTGATGACCTCGAAAACATTGTAAACTCTCTTCCTAGGAGTCGTAATTTGATAATCCTTGGGGATTTAAATACTAGGATCGGAAAAGATGACTCCTTTATTAGAGATGGGGTAATTGGGAATGCAACTCTCTCTCAGTTAAACAGTGATGACAGCAGAAAGTTATTGGAGATGTGCAGGAGTATAAACCTCAAGGTCGAAAATACTTTCTTTTCACACAGCGAATTAAACACCCTAACCTTTAGTAGAAATAATATCAAGTCTCAGATCGATTTCATCATCTCGAACATCCATAGCTGGTTCATCGATGTAAAAGTAATGCCAAATATTAATATTTCTGATCATAAATTAATCAGAGCCAGTATTACTGTGAAAAATTTATGGGGAAACTCTCGGCGTCCTTCTCTTCAACCCCAGCCGAGATACCTGTCCTGGAAGAGAAATGCAACACACCTGCAACGCCCTGCAGTCAAACTACAGCTCGATCTATTCTTAAATGATAGGGAGGCAACTTTCTTATCCTCGTCGGAGTCTCAATCTGTCGAAGAATGTTGGGCGTCTTTCAAAAACAACTTGTTTGATGCCTACAATCATCTCCCTAACATCAACATTTCTCCACCAAGACAGGAATGGCTATCCGATGACACCATTCGCATGATAGCTCAACTCAAGTTACGAGGTGAGCGCGATGGTCACTTATGGACCTCAATTCATAGACTCCTAAGGAGAGATAGAAGGATCTTTATTGCTAAAAAGGCTTTTGAGATAGACAGGGATATGAGGGAAAATAGAACTTTCGACGCCTACAAGAAACTAAATTATTTTTGTAAAGCCAAAGTGTTCAAGACACTTCCAACTATAAGACTGGATAATTATAGGTTAATTACTGACCCCGACGAACAGATAGCGTTATGGCTTGACCACTATATGGGAGTCTTTGATTCTAGGAGGCCTACCTTAATCCCATCCACTAGTCAAAATGTTGGACAATTGGACGCAAACTTTTCATTGGCTGAAATTGTGGCCGCTATTAAGAAGCTTAGGAATAATAAATCTCCGGGTACAGATAACATTACAGGAGAACATCTGAAAGCAGCTCCCTTAACGATCTCTCGGTTCTTACTTCCTTTGTTTAACAAGATATGGTTGACTGGGATGATGCCAGCGGATTGTATCTTTTGCAACTTCCCGAAAATTCCAAATCCATCTAAATTCAAGGATTATAGAGCCATCGCTCTCACGTCTATTGCATCAAAAGTTTTTATGGTTCTTTTAAAAAATCGCATTCTTTCCTCTACACCAAACCTTTTGTCTAAATACATTTGTGCTTACCGTCCAGGTAGAAATATAAACGAACCAATATTAGCTTTAAAGATTATAATGCAGAAATGTCAGAAGTATAAATTACCTTTTTACTTTATTTTTATCGACTTTAAACGTGCTTTTGATAATGTTAACCATGATGCGCTTTGGAAGATTTTAACCGAATGCGGCATTGACTCTAATATTATAAGGATCCTTAAAACACATTATAGTAGTCTTTTTGCCTCCTTAAAAATCAATAATAAGGTTTCTCCATCTTTTAGGACAAAAAAAGGGGTAAAACAAGGATGTGTTCTTTCCCCGCTTTTGTTTAATATACTTATGAATAAAATCATAGTAGATACGCTGGCTACTGCGAATCTCTTAGAATTAAGTTCCAGTCAGTCTTTTTTCTTGGAAAATTGGGTGATATCTTATGCTGACGACATAGTTTTGATAACAAAAAGTTTGGAAGAAACCCAAAATTTGATCGCTATATTAAACTCCTTTAGTCTTAAGGTTGGCTTGGATATTAACTTTGATAAAACAGTGATAATGCCCTCGTCCCAGGCGCCTCTTTTGAATAATTTGGTGGTGGGGGGAAAGTTGGTTAAGGTGGTAGAATCTTTTAAATATCTAGGTGTAACCATTGACAATAAAGGTAGTTGTAAAGAAGAACTAAAAATTCGTTTACAAAATGCTAGGGCGGCTTTTTATAAATTTTTTAAACTGTGGAAAGCTAGAGAGATATTCGTTTTCACAAGACTCTGTATTTTCAACTCAACCATCATCCCGATTCTCTTTTATGGCGGTGATACATGGGAGATTACCAAGACCGAAACTAGGAAATTACAAACGTTTGTAAATAAATGCCTTAGAATAATAAATGGAATCTTCTACCCTAATATTATCTCAAATGAAAATCTTTGGAAGAAGTCTAACCATACCCAGGTTCACGTGTCTTTAAAAAAGAAACGTCTTACTTTCTTTGCCCATATTTTAAGAAATCATAGCAACAATAGCCTTGTTATTGATGCCATTAATTGGTTATACTCCTTTAATGGGAAAACATATTGCAAATATAAGACATTATGGTTCTACAGAGCCTTGAAGGACATAATGGATCTAAACTTAAATTTGAAGCAATTCCTAAGGCTAAATAAAAACAAAAAATCTATAAAAAAACTACTAAAAATTAAATCGAACTACCTAAACCTCTCATAATTTTTTTTTTTCTGTATTTTTCAGGTTATTTAATTTCTTCATCTCTCAATTTTACCTCTTGATTTTGTCTTTCACCTTTTCTGTGAATTACTTACTTCACTGACTTCAGCTTTTATTTATCTTATTGACTTAATATACTAATTTAAATCAGTCCGTCCCATATTTTTAATTAAATATACATTGTACTTCTATGCATTCCCATTATATGAGTTAAGATATATTAATGACATTTTTGAGGAATAGTTTGTGATTTGCGTTTCCTATGTGGGCTAAAATTTTTCTTTGGCTCTTTTTAACTTAGTTTTTGGGTATGTTTTTGTAATTTTTCCATAGTTTTTGAGTTTGTAATGTTTCTGGGGTAGAGGGTATCCTCTTTTGTTTATGAGACATTTATTTGTTTATAGTCATCTGTTTATTTTATTTATTTATTTTTCTCTTCCCTAGTTCCTTTGGTCTCTCTAACATGTCCGCCCCCTCCATAGACAAATATAGGAATAGTGGATATGTCCTCAGTCTAGAAATTACCGATTCTGAAAAAACTGCATGGTTAACATTATCAATAGCTCTGTTATAATTCACAAATGTAAAGCAGAAGGGGGTTTTGTACTTAGTTTTTCTGCATGATTATTTTTCTAAATTAATTTTTGGCTCCAGTATTTTCTTTTCTTGGCCTGTATATACTTATATATTTTGGTGTGGGTGATATGCTTTTTTTTCCATGCTAT